GAAAGAATTAGATTCATCAGTCTGACATATATTTTTTATTTGCCATGAATTAAAACTGCTTTTTATTTTGAAATAGTTTGACTCACGAGGTGTTACAAAATAGTACAGAGGGTGCCATTTCTCCGGTAGCTGCAAAATGAACCTGAGGTCAAATTAATGTAACACACCACATTTTAGAATTTTTATACCAAAAAGTAAATCTTTACTATCTCAGTTTTAAGATTAAAATTATATTAAATGATTCAAGTGGGGAAAAAGTTGCATCACACAATTATGTACTATATACCATTATAACTAAATATTCCCAAATAGTTTTATGTAGGTAAGTAACATACTTTAAGTCAGGGAATAATTTATTTTCGTATTCAAGAAGCATATTCTAATGTCTGGATTTATATTTTGAGAAATACTGTTGTAAGACCTGAGAAATTCAGAACACAACCTGATGATAGTGTAGCAGGACGAGCCGCAGACAAAACTCCTCAGACACTGAGTTAAAGAAGGAAGGGGTTTATTCGGCCGGGAGCATCGGCAAGACTCCTATCTCAAGAGCCAAGCTCCCTGAGTGAGCAATTCCTGTCCCTTTTAAGGGCTCACAATTCTAAGGGGGTCTGCGTGAGAGGGTTGTGATCGATTGAGCAAGCAGCGGGTATGTGACTGGGGGCTGCATGCTCCAGTAATCAGAATGAAACAGAACAGGACAGGAATTTGTACAATGCCTGGAATCTATAGATAACATAACCAGTTAGGTCAGGGGTCAATCTTTAACTACAGGGCCCAGGGCGCAGCGCTGGGCTGTCTGCCTGTGGATTTCATTTCTGCCTTTTAGTTTTTACTTCTTTTTTCTTTGGAGGCGGAAATTGGGCATAAGACAATATGAGGGGGTGGTCTCCTCCCTTAACAGGTTACTAAAAGTAGCTACATCAAGATAAAATTATCATGACCTAATACAGTTTATGCATTTTGTGGCAAGTTACCAATACAAGATATAAATTTGGATGCACTTTCTTTTTCATTACTTCATTTTTTGTAGTGCAATGTAGTATGTGGCTAAAATTTTAAGTTATCTGTGAAGTAGGAGTATGACAAGAGGCAGGGCTTTCCTTTGGTAAATAAATTTGTGTGCGTAAATTGAACTCTTATGTTCAGCTCTTGGGAATAATTAAATAAGACTCATAAATTTAAAAAATTGGAAATAAGCTGGGCACAGTGGCTCACACCTGTAATCCCAGCACTTTGGGGGGCCAAGGTGGGCAGATCACGAGGTCAGGAATTTAAGACTAGCCTGACCAATATGGTGAAACACGATCTCTACTAAAAATACAAAAAAAAATTAGCCAGCCGTGGTGGCACGTGCCTGTAGTCCCAGCTACTTGGGAGGCTGAGGCAGAAGAATTGCTTGAATCCAGGAGGCAGAGGTTGCAGTGAGTCGAGATTGTACCACTGCACTCCAGCCTGGGTGACAGAGCGAGACTCCATCTCAAAAAAAAAAAAAAAAAAAAATCAGAAATAACCTTATTATTAGAAATTATGCTCAAACTTCTCCTGTATGTGTGTAGCATACTTAGTGAAAGAAAAATGTCTGTATTGCTAAAAACTAATTGATCCAGCAACTGAGAATACACATTGGGTAGATCATGCAATCTCTGTTGTAAATAAAGTTTCCAGGCAACCATGGGTCTATTTCTAGGCTCTATTCTACTATTTTCCTAACCTCAAGCCAACAGTTAATGATTACATCGAGTATTACAACTTAGTCATTCTTCAAGTCTAAATAACGATTTCCCCTGTGTTTTTCCAGAAGTGTCTTAATTATTCTTGGCTTACCTGCTATTTAAACTGAATCTTAGGCTTGTTAACCCAAAATCCTGTTGGGATTTTAATTGGAATTGAATTGAATTTATGGGTTATTTTTAGAGAAATGGATAGTCCTACAATGTTTGGTCTCCCTATCCATGAACTTGGTATAATCTCTCCATTCATTTGACTTTTTGTTATTGTTGTTGTTGTTGTAGCACTTTGACCTTGGAATTTTTCTTAACAATCTTAACATTCTTTTTCATTTGGTGCTAATTTTGACTGTCCTCCACTGCTGCCTGGCAAATTATTACTTAGCCATTAAGTCTTAGCTCAAATGCCACCTCCTCTGTGAAACCTTCCTTAATTACTTTAGGCTGAGTTGGTGGATCCTTCTCCTAAGGCCCCACCAACCAGGGTATTTTGAATACAATTGCAAGAACAGATATTTACTAACAGCCGACTACATGCCAACGCACTGAGTTAAGCACTCTCTGAGCATGAACTCATATAATCTCCAAAACAGCCGTTTAAAATCAAAGTTGGTGCTATTATCTCCATTTATGAGAGGATAAGCTCAGAGAGGGCAACTTGTCTGAGGCACACAGCCAGGATGAGCTAGGGCAGGATATAAGCCCAGGCACTCTAGCCTCAGAGTCCATGCTCTGGTGAATCACCTTGGAAGCAGTTGTATTAAGAACGGAAGTTGTACTTTCACACTGTTGGTGGGAGTGTAAATTAGTTCAACCATTGTGGAAGACAGTGTGGCGATTGCTCAAGGATCTAGAACCAGAAATATCATTTGACCCAGCAATCTCATTACTGGGTATATACCCAAAGGATTATAAATCATGCTACTATAAAGACATATGCACACTATTTACAATAGCAAAGACTTAAAACCAACCCAAATGTCCATCAATGATAGACTGGATAAAGAAAATGTGGCACATATATACCATGGAATACTATGCAGCCATAAAAAATAATGAGCCCATGTCCTTTGCAGGGACACAGATGAAGCTGGAAGCCATTGTTCTCAGCAAACTAATCCAGGAGCAGAAAACCAGACACCGTATGTTCTCAGTCATAAGTGAGAGTTGAACAATGAGAACACATGGACACTGGGAGGGGAACATCACACACTGAGACCTGTTGAGGGGTGTGGGGCAAGGGGAGGGAGAGCATTAGGACAAATACCTACAAAGCCCCTAATGCGGGTCTTAAAACCTAGATGACGAGTTGATAGGTGCAGCAAACCACCATGGCACATGTATACCTATGTAACAAACCTGCACATTCTGCACATGTATCCCAGAACTTAAAGTAAAATTTTAAAAAACGAAAAAAGAACCGAAGTTGTTTACTTGCTGTCATTCATGCATCCCAAAAAAAAAGATTTGAGTGCACACCCTGGATTAGGTACTGGGAAAGGCACTAGCTAGACAGGTGGTGATGAATAAAACAGACAGTAAATAGAAAATACATCATAATAATATATCATGTATTTTAAAATAGCTACAAGACATTTTAAATGTTCTCACTGCAAAGAAATGACAAATAGTTGGGCCAGGTGCAGTGGCTCACACCTGTAATCCTAGTACTTTGGGAGACCAAGATGGGGTGGATCACCTGAGGTCAGGAGTTCGAGACCAGCCTGGCTAACATGGTAAAACCCCGTTTCTACTAAAAATACAAAAAATTAGCCAGGCATGGTGGAGCATGTCTGTAATCCCAGCTACTTGGGAGGCTGAGGCAGGAGATTCACTTAAACCTGGGAGGCAGAGGTTGTAGTGAGCCGAGATCGCGCCACTGCACTCCAGCCTGGGTGACAAGAGCAAAACTGTCTCAAACAAACAAACAAAAAACAAAAACAAGAGAAATGATAAATATTTGAGTGATAAATATGCTCATTAGCCTGATTTGAACACACCACAATTATACATATATTGAAAAATCACATGGTACCCTGTAAATATAGACAATGATTTGTCAATGAAAAATGAAATAACACTTAAAAAATAAAAAGTAAAAAAAAAGTTACACCAATAAATATAAGAGGTACAAATTGTGCGAAGTGCCCTGGGGACAAGAGGAAAGGCGGGAAAACCTAGGGCTATATAAATGAGAATCACAAAGAGAGGAGGACAGGAGGAGGGCAATTACGGATGGGCTTGGGGGAATGCATGTCCTTGGGTGCAGGTCACAGAAAGGAACTCATGAGCTTGATTCAGGATGTGTTGAATTTTCGGCCCCAGACACCTCCAGTCTGCGGAAGGTTGGACATACGGAAATCTGGGACTCTGGCATCATGGCTGGGTTGAAAGCACAGGATGGTAATCACTAAGGAGCAGGCTGTGGTTAAGCCACCAGCATGGAAGAGACTCCCCGAAAGGAAGCTGCAGAGTGAGAGGCAGGCAGAAGAGAGGAAAGAAGAAAATCACAGAGGTGGGGATGTCTTTGCGCCCGTGTGTCTCCAGTGTCCAAAACAGGGCGTCGCGGAGAAGAGGTGCTCAGTACCCGTCTGTTGCCTGGCGGGCTGAATGAATACATGGGCGGCTGTCTTGGTGCCGCCTTGTGTCCCTTCCTCTCTAGACCTCCGTTTCCCTCTGACCTGGGTCGGGTGGGCAGCTGTGGCTGCTGGGGCTCGCTGGGGCCCCTCCAAGACGCGCGTCCGCATCTGCCCGCCGGGTGTCCGCGGGGTGCAGTGTCCACTGGAGCGCGAGAGCCCCTGGGACCGCGGAGGACAGTGGCTGGTCTCCCTCTGCGATCGCCCAGGAGCTCAGGGGAGGAGAGTGCGAGCGGGGAAAAGGGGTCCTGCACCCAGAGTGGGGCGGACGTGGCGAGGAAGCCAGGGAGACCGGGAAACGAGGCCCGTGGTGCAGAGGGCGCGGGGCGCGCGGGGACACCTCCCGGAGAAACATGGTAGGGGCGGAAGGAAGGAGATGGAAAGGAGAGGGAGATTGGGGAGATGGACCTGAGAGACCCAGAGGCCTGCAGAGGTTTTCATCCGGGACCCTTCAGAGCCCAGGAAAGAGCAGGTGCGGACGCGGGAGGGCGCCTCACGCCAAAGCGGGTAGCACCAGTGACCTAAATACGCCCCGCTTGGCAGCCCCGGGACGCACCTCTGCCCGGGTAGCGCAGCAGAGGCTTGGAGAGCGCGAGGTGGTAGGGCCCAGGCTGCCCCTAGAGGGCTGGCCCGAAGCGTTAGAGTCCAAAGACGCCTCCCGCCGCCGCCGGGTGGCAGAACTGGGGGCAGGCGCGTCCCACCGACCCCGAGGGGTGGCCCCGCCCCAGGGCCGTGGGGAGGCGCCCCCGTGCGGGGCGGAGTTGTCACCGCCCCCTCCCCAATCCCCAGGGACTGCGGCCCCTTCTTAAGCCCGCGGCGCTTCTAGCTGCCCCTCACTCGTCTCGCCCGCCAGTCTCCCTCCCGCGCGATGGCCTCGGCGCTGAGCTATGTCTCCAAGTTCAAGTCCTTCGTGATCTTGTTCGTCACCCCGCTCCTGCTACTGCCACTCGTCATTCTGATGCCCGCCAAGGTCAGTTGCATCTCCAGGCAGCCCTTCGGACACCGGGCTTCCGGTGCCCACTAAGGGGCACCGAATCCGGGAGCCCTGAGCTGGAGCGCACGGATTTCACGGGGGGCACAGCTCTCCCCGGGCGAGCGCACTCAGGAGCTCCAGGTGCCAGATGGGAGGTGCCCTGTAAAGAATCCGAGGGGCATGGCGACCCCAGGGCGCACCACCCTTGGGGTTTACAGATCCCAGGGCGCAATAGCCGTCCAGGCAAGCACAGAAACCTCGAAGTGAGCACAGATCTCAGTCACACAGATCCCAGCCTTAGGCTCAGTCCCTGGCTCCGAATTGAATCTCCCCATAGTGCATAACCCCGTTTCCTCCCAGAATGCCACCTGCGCCAACAGGGAACCTGGGAGCTTGCCTTTCCCTCTCTCTCTCCTGTCTTTTCCCTTCGCCAAAGAAGACTTCAAGCTGTAGGTGACTTCCGCCGTCAGGAGGGACCTACAGGAAAATAATCATCACCCACGTGGATCCTGCGCTGTCTTTGCCACTCTCTGGTCCTTCCTTGGGCCTTAGTGTTTCTATCTGTGATCCACATTTCTTGCAACCTGGAGAGCCACATCTGATTCATCATCCTGCCCCAGGCTGCAGGCAGGTCCGGGTTGGCCTGCTTTGCCTGCTGCCCGCTGGGGCTGTAGCAGGAGGCGGGACACATTCCCAGAGCTCACGCCTTGGGTGGCAGGACCTGGAGTCGAAGGGAAGCTTCCTCCCAGGCCCTAGTCTCCTAATGCTTCTGTGAGGGAGACAGAGAATGAATGGCCTTGGCCGCAGGGTGGGGGCAGGCTCCACTGGGCTGTGCACAGCCAGTTTGGCAGAGGCCCGAGCCCTTTGAAGCCTTTTGTGGCTGCTGGCTGCTCCTTCCTCGTTCCTTCTTTCAGCCCTTTCACTCTCAGCCCAGACAGGAAACCTCCAGCTCCCCCACTGGCCTCCCCAGGCAGGTTTGGGAAACAGAGGAGCTCTTCAGGGGATGCTCTGGGGGGAGCTCTAGAGGAAGGGAGTGCATTGGGGTGTCAGGAAGCCAACCTGCAAGAGAACTGGACTGCCACCATTCGCTCATCTGCGTGACTTTAGCCAAGTGCCTGTGCTCTCTGGGCCTTGGTGTTCTCATCTGTACAATGGGGCTAGGCGGTTTGGTTCTGACACTTTAAGGCTTTGGGAATCAAAAGGGATTAACGTTGGTTCCTAGGATGGGGGAGGGGGAGACTGGGAGGAGCCCTTGGGTGGGCCTAGCACAGGCCCTGGATGGGTCAAGGACAGCAGATCCAACTGTGGAGGCTCTGCAGTTGCCGCACCACCTGTGAGCAGCCACACTTCCTCCCTAGCAAGAAGTTTGGGGCTGTTAGTGTCCAGGGGAAGGAGCCAGGCAGGAGAGCTGCGACTTCAGTTCTGCTGGTAGGGAGTGACCTTCCCTGGAAATGATTATAGTAGCTTGGCTGACCTTCCTGCCCCAGGAGACCCCACTCACACACACACACACAAATACACACACACACACTCACAAACACAAACACACACAAACACACAGACACACACAGACACACAAACACACAAAACACACAAACACACAGACACACAAACACACACAAACACAGACACAAACACACACAAACACACAGACACACAAACAGAAAACACAAATACACAAAACACACAAACACAGACGTGCAAACACACACACAAACACACAGACACAAACACACACAAAAAACACACAAAAACACACAAACACACACAAACATACACAAACACACAAACACATACAGACACACAAACACACACAAAAACACACAAGCACGCACAAATACACCCTGAGCTGGAAACCCCAACTCAGTGTGTGTGTGTGTGTGTGTGTGTGTGTGTGTGAGAGAGAGAGAGAGAGAGAGAGAGAGAGATTAAGCTGTCCTGTGAATGAGGACCAGGGAAGGGAAGCAGAGAACCCAGGGAGAGTCCTTCCAAAGGCTGCCTTCATGAGCTTTCCTTCTGACGGGGTTGGGTGAGGACCCTGGACCTTGTCTTCTTGTTTTTTCCCTTTGTGCTTGTTTCGGTCACCATGCGTCCACCCTCCACGGCCACCCCATTGTGCAAGGAAACCCAGAGGGTACACAGCACAGGCAGGGCAGCTGGGAAGCTGGTGAGAAGCTGGCAGGACCTTGGCAGCCTGAGCAACACAGTCCTTGCCAGGAGGTGACTCGCAGGGCACGCCACCCTCTCCCATCACCCAGGCCCCTCTCCTCGCCGGCTGTCTCCAGCTCTCCCGTCTCTACCTGGACTCCCTCCTGGTCTCATCTCTGCTCCACTTTCTCTATCCTTTCTCTGCGTCCTTTTTTATTAAAATAAATTTAATACAATAAATGATAAATTTATTGTATCATTTATTTTATTAAAATGTAAAAGTTTTTTAAAAAACAAATCTGTAAGGTATAAAATAAAAATAAAAATACCCTCAAATCCCATAAGTTATTCATATTTTGATGAACATCTTTCCAGAAACCAATCAATCTCTTCTCTCTCTTCCCAAACACACACACACACACACACAAATACATACAGAGTAGGTTTTGCCTGCATGTTTTCATTAAGTGGTATGTCAGGACACCCTGACTTGTTAGTGTTAAACTTTTCTAACATCTGCTTCCCATCCTGCCCTCTCCCTTGACACTGTGGAAGCATTCTAGACTAGGGGGATCAAGCCTGTTGACTTCAGAGATGAGGCACCTCCTGGGCTTCCAAATAGTGGCATGGAGGTGAGGGGGCAGTTAACCTTGTGTCTCATCCTCTTTCCTAGTGGGTCTGTTTGACTCCTCCAGGAACACACAGTGTACACTGGTGACGCATGCCACCTACTGCTTCTAAGTTTAGAGAATCAAAAGTTACCGAGGACTTTGTGCGCCATATGGGAAGAACGAGGACTCTTAAATCCACCATTTGCAGATGAAGGCATGAAACAAGAGGGGATAGGGGCCAGGATTGGGAGCAGGAGGAGTAATCTATGAGCGACATTGTTTAGAATTGCTATCACCTGATGATAGTAAGAAGCAAACTAATGTTTAGCTAATATTATTGTTTTAAAATTCTCTCCGATGCGCCCTCTCATTGTCTGCCCCTGGAGGGGATCATTCTCATGGCCTGCCCAGTGGTACACCCCTGACACCAAGGCCCAAAGAAGTTAGTGGCTGCCAAAGACCAGACAGTGGCTGACAGCGGGCGCCAATCATATCTGTCTGGTGTCAGAGCCTGGGTTTCCAGTCACGCTGCTGTTCCGCCTTTAGTTCAGTGGCTGTCAACCAGCATTGATCCTTTCTCCTGCCCTCACCCTGCCCCACAACAGGGGACCTTTGGCAAAGTACGGAGACATTTTTTGCCGTCCCAAATGGAGACAGTCTTACTGGCATCTCCCAGGTGGAGGCCAGCGGTGCTCTGAACATCCTGCAGTACACAGCCCCCACAACAAGAATCCTTTAACCCAAAGTGTCAGTGTGCCGAGGCTGAGTAACCCTGCCTTGCCAGTAGGGAGGTGCCCTGGGATGCTGAAAAAGATGTATGTCTTGTGGCTGATAACACAACCCCGACAAAGAATTTCTAAGTTTTCCTGCAATGTTTCATGCAAATAATGCATACGCTTTTCTGGGTGATGAGAAGCAGGGACTGTGTACAGGTGCATCTGTTCTTCCGCAGAGTTGTCAGAGTTAAACTCAGATGCATCCTATTGATTCCTTTAATAAGCATTTGCAAAGATGGCCGGGCGCGGTGGCTCACGCCTGTAATCCCAGCACTTTGGGAGGCCAAGACAGGTGGATCATCAGGCTAGGAGATGGAGACCATCCTGGCCAACATGGTGACATCCCGTCTCTACTAAAAATACAAAAATTAGCCGGGCATGGTGGCACTTCACTTGTCTGTAATCCCAGTTACTCGGGAGACTGAGGCAGGAGAATCGCTTGAACCCAGGAGGTAGAGGCTGCAGTGAGCCTAGATCACACCACTGCACTCCAGCCCGGGGACAGACCAAGACTCCGTCTCAAAAATAAATGAATCAATAAATAAATAAGCATTTGCAAAGATATCCTAAGTGTTAAACCTGTTCTGGATGCCGAGGACAGTGATCTACAAATACAGCAGATTCTTGAATAATGTCGATTCATTCAACATCATTTCATTATAATGTTGATGGGAGGAGGAGGGGAAAGGAAGGATCCCTTGAGCCCAGGCGGTGGAGGCTGCAGTGAGCTGTGATTGTGCCACAGCACTCCCGCCTGGGCAACAGAGCGAGACCCTGTCTCAAAAAAAAAAAAGAGCGCGAGAGAAAGAAAAGAAAATGATTGCCAGCTGGGGCCACTGTCTGTGTGAAGTTTGCACGTTATCCTCGTTGTCTGCATTGGTTTTCTCCAGCTACTGTGGTTTCCTTCCACATCCCAAACCTGTGCACGTTAGGTGAATTAGAGTGTCTGCAGGGTCCCCATCTGAATGAGTGTGGGTGTGCGTTCATTGTGCATTCTGCAATGGGATGGCATCTTATCCAGAACTGGTATCTACCTTGTACCCTGAGCTGCCGGGACAGGCTCTGGCCACCCAAGACCCTGACCTGCCATAACTGGATAATTATCTAACTTGTTTTTATTAATGTTTCTTAAGCATATGTATAGCTCACATTCCTTTCCGTGTTTAATATTGGAAGTGTTTTGGTCCTTATTTAGGATCTCCGTGATGTTTTTGTGACCAGAAATACGCTATAGAAATTTAACTGTTGTTTCTAGCAATTTGCCTATGGGAATATTGGCTTACGTTGTTTCGCTTACACATTGCAATTTCCAAAAACCAATCAATGATGTTAAGTTAGGACTCACTGTGCTGTTTGTGCTCTCGAGTCACGCACTGGTTGTGGTGGTAGAAGGACAGTTGAGGAAACAGTGACAACCCCATATGCTAATGGCTGGGGAGGGTACTTAGAAGAAGGGCGCAAACCAGACTGTGGAGGGGGTGCAGGGAGACATCTAAGAAGGAACTCTGAGGTTGGACGTAGTGGCTCACGCCTGTAATCCCAGCACTTTGGGAGACTGAGGTGGGCAGATCATGAGGTCAAGAGTTCGAGATCAGCCTGACCAACATGGCAAAACCCCGTCTCTACTAAAAATACAAAAATTAGCCTGGCGTGGTGGCGCACGTCTGTAATGCCAACTCCAGAGGCTGAGGCAGGAGAATTGCTTGAACCCAGGAGGTGGAGGTTGCAGTGAGCTGAGATCGTGCCGTTGCACTCCAGCCTGGGCAATAGGATTGAAACTCTGTCTCATAAAAAAAAAAAAAAAAAAAAAAAAAAAAAAAAAAAAAAAAAAAAAAAAGCCAATGAAAGATAAAACAACCTAGGGAGGTGGCTAGTTTTATTATATAATAATGATTATTTTTATTTCAATAGCTTTAGGGGTACATGTAGTTTTTGGTTACATGGATGAATTGTATAGCGATGAAGTCTGAGATTTTAGTGCACCCATCACCCAAGTAGTGTATGTGGTACCCAATATGTAGTTTTTCAATCCCTCACTCCCCTCCCACCCTCCCTGCTTCTAAGTCTCCAGTATCCATTCTACCACGCTATATACCTTTGGGTACCCATAGTTTAGCTCCCACTTATAAGTGAGAACATGCACTATTTAGCTTTCCATTCCTGAGTCACTTCTCTTAGAATAATGGCCTCTTAGGTGGCAAGAGCAAAACTCCATCTTAAAAAAACCAAACTAACGGTATTTTATTCTTCTTTTCCTTCTCCTCTTCTTCCTTTCTTTTCTTCCTTCTCCGTCCCCCTTCCTCTCTTTCTTCTATCCCTTCCTCCTCCTTCTCCTCCTTTTTCCTTTTCTTCCTTGTCCTATTCTTGATCTTTTCTTTTGAGAGGTAGCTAATCCAAGGTTTGAGAAGATCAAAGAACGTGCCTAGAACCACACATCTGGAAAGGAGGGAGGCAGGGACGAGGGGTGGGAATGGAGCAGGAGTCCTTTGAGGATAGATCCTATGCCTGCCTCCCCAGCCTGACCCCAGAAAGCTGTGCTGACTACGGCTGGGGAACAGGATGACTTTGAGTGGATTCCCTCTTAGATCACCCCTGTGTCTTGACAATCCATGCCAGCTGCCATCCGGAGGGTTCCGGGGATGGGGAGAGTGAGGCGGCCACATGCCGAAGCCTCAGGACTGTCTCTTCAGTTTGTCAGGTGCGCCTACGTCATCATCCTCATGGCCATTTACTGGTGCACAGAAGTCATCCCTCTGGCTGTCACCTCTCTCATGCCTGTCTTGCTTTTCCCACTCTTCCAGATTCTGGACTCCAAGCAGGTAAGCAGACCGAGGGGATCCTGGTGACTTCCTGGTTCTCCCCTTGTCTTTTTCTGTGGTCCTCTCTGTGAGCCGCACAGGCCTGGGGGTGACCGGAAAACCCTCCATTGTGGGTTCTCCCTGGCAGGGAGACACCACTCGGGCCTGCATCCCCACTCCAAGCGGTCCCTGAAGTCAACATCTGGGACTTGGGTGGCTCTAGTGTGTGGCAAGGGGCAGCCCTGATGGGGCCTTCGTGCCACGCTCCAGGTGTGTGTCCAGTACATGAAGGACACCAACATGCTGTTCCTGGGCGGCCTCATCGTGGCCGTGGCTGTGGAGCGTTGGAACCTGCACAAGAGGATAGCCCTGCGCACGCTCCTCTGGGTGGGGGCCAAGCCTGCACAGTAATTACGCCTTCTCTCTCTTGCCACGTGGCTCTGCATGAGCCCCAGGGCTGCAAGGGGGTGGAGGGTGGCACAGACCGGGCCGCCCACTGGTGAGGGCTGGCCATGGGCTTACCTGGACTTGGCTGGGTGGGGCGCATTATAGCTTTAGCTGGAGAGACCAGATGCATGCGTGGTGGTGGCACACGGTGAGCAGCAGTAAGTAAGGGTCCTCTGAATCCAGAGGAGGTGGGTCAGCAAGAGTCCTTGCAGGCTTGGAAGGCTTCCTGGGGGAGGCAGCTAGCTGCAGGGTTCCACAGGGAACAAATTGGATAGAGGCTGGATCAAGCTGTGTCTGATGGGGTAGGGGAAGCAGGCCAGAAGTGGCTCAAGCACCCAGCTCATGGGGAAACAGAAAGGTCCTCTCTCCAAGCTGGAGCATCTATTCCCACTGCAAAGAAGCTTCTTAATTTATCTTCCCCGACATCACTCAGTACCCCAGCTTCTCTCTCCATTTTCAAGATCTCCCCTGCCAATCTAGCTGGCCATTTCCAGCCAAGCCATGGAGTCAATATAACCATAATCATAACCATAATCAATCATGATCCTAATGGGTATACTGAGTGTCTACAAGGCCCCAGGCATGATGCCAGAAACTTATTCATTGCCTCATTTAATTCTCACAACTCTGAGAGCTGAGTATTCTTCTTACTGCCCACATTCTGTGGATGAGGAATTGGAGGCAGAGAGGGGTAAAGTGATTTGCTCATGGACACACGGGGATTGGACCCAGCTTCTCTGATAAGGTCTGTGTCCTCTCTAATCAGAAACTCAGGGCACATCTTCCTTTTGAGGCAATGTGTCCCCTCAATGATGCCATGTCCCAGGCCCAGCCCTTGGGAGTCAGCTCCTGGTCAGTTCACGGTAAATTCCTCCTGAGGCGCCCCTATGCCGGGCGCTGTGCTAGACCCCGAGCACACACAGACGCTGGCCTGCCATGCAGGCGACCATGCCCGGGGCTCCCTTGGTGCCTCAGACTCCCCTGAGGAGGGGGCTTTGTGGCTCTCTGATCTCTGTTACGCATCCTGGCATTGATTCCTTCTAGTGATTGGTTTAGCGTCAAATCGAAAGCCGTCGTATTTTCTAGAAACGAGAGACCCCAGGAAAGTGGACCTCGGGGCCCTCAGAATTCTTTTTCTTGGCCCCCTTGAGTGGCCAGCTTGGGTGGGAGGCCACTCCAGTGGGTTTCATTCTGGAGCACGTTGGAGAGCTTCCACTTCCAAACCCAAGTTCATACATGCTTCTCTCTCCTTCCTGCCACCTAGCTCCTCTGAGCACGGTCTCCAGTTGTCCAAGGCACTGGCTGTCCTGCAGGTCCCCTGTATGTGAGGCACCCTTGGTGCCTTGAAATAGCATGTAGAAGCCTTGGTTCTTCTAAGACAACTCCATTCAGGCAAACTCTCCCCCTCCTCCTAGCCTGGGTTCCAGGCTTTTTTTTTTTTTATGGGTCCATAATGTCCGCCTGTGTGGACAGCAGCTTGGGCCCTGGTGCAGAACAGCTTCTAGATCCCTTCCTCAGGCTCCTACCCCCGGGCGAACTAGGAGCCCTGAGGAGGAGCCTGGCTGCAACAGGGCCCGCAGGCTGAGAGTAGTCAAGCTCCTTCTGCCCCTAGCCTTGGACAGCTGGGGCGTGTGGAGCCACAGAGCTGAGTCAGGCCCTGCCCTACTCACAGCCTAAGGAGAGAGCAGACGTGGAAACAGGTGCTTTGAACCCAGCACAGCGATGATGAGAGTAAGCGGGAGGATTGAGAAGGGTCAGACCAGCCCCACCTGGCGCACACTGAGAGGGTGGTCCCGGGAGAGGGACGTTGCTTGGGCAGGCTCTGAAGGACCATGAGGAGTGTTCCTGATAGACAGCAGAGAAGGGAGCAGGGGTTATAAGCAAAGGGAGTGTATTTTCTGAATACTGTTTGTGTGATCAGTTCCACTGCAGCATGGAGGGGTCAAAGTGTATATGCGGGGGCGGAGGGGAGATGGTGGGGACGGAGTGGCAGCGGGAGAAGAGTCACACTTTCCCAAGCTCCCTCCCCAGCTCACCCTACCCCTACTCTGCTTAGCCTTTCTGAACTTCTGAGAGGTGAGGCAGGGTTTGGGAGTAGGTGGGAATTTCCTAGCCAGAAGTGGGAAGCTGGGGCTGCCTGCACATAGGGGTATTCCAGCATACCCCAGGGCAAGCTCATATTAAGTTGGCACCATGTGGATGCCTGGGCTTCACCTGCTAGATGGTGGGGCAGGGGTGCTCCTTACAACCACGACTGGATCTGAGGCCTCTTGGTAACCCCAGAAGCAAGCAGAGTAGACATCAGTAATGTGTGTGGGAGAGGCGGGAGGGAGAGAGGAATGGAGGAGGCAAAGAAGGGAAGGAGGGAGGGAGGGGAGGCTCTCAAACTGTCATCCCTATTCGAATATCCTATCTTGAATTGGCCTCAACACCTGTGCATCCCCGCAGGGGTGGACCCAGTCCCCAGCTGCTTCCCAGGAAGTATGGGGGTGGGGTGGGGATTCTCTGGCTTTCCTCCCTGCCCCTCCTCTGCAGGTTGATGCTGGGCTTTATGGGCGTCACAGCCTTCCTGTCCATGTGGATCAGTAACACGGCAACCACGGCCATGATGGTGCCTATTGTGGAGGCCATACTGCAGCAGATGGAAGCCACGAGCGCAGCCACCGAGGCCGGCCTGGAGCTGGTGGACAAGGGCAAGGCCAGTGAGCTGCCAGGTGAGCCCCTGGCCAGGGCACTGCCAGGCCACAACAGCAGCCTTCCCCTCCCTCTCCTGGCACATGCTTTGGCCACCCCCTTCTCCCTGTCTGCTTCCTGGAACCCTCCTTTAAACACGCATAGAGAAAAAAAAAAATAGAAACTGCTGTTGTCGTCAGTTTTAGGAAGGGGATTATTGCATAAAAGTTAGATCCTTTAATAGAGCTTTGAACAAAGTCCCACCCTCGGTTCCCATCAGTTGCAGAAATCAGTGTGTTCACCTGATTTTTCATTCGGGCATCTTGTGCACACTTATGGGTGCCCCTCACTTCTTGCTACTCCTGCTCATCCTCAAGGAGGCCTTCTCTGACCTCCTCGAGCAGCTCAAATCCTTCCTCTCTCTGCTCCCATAGGTCTTGGACTTGGTGTCCCATGCTTGCTTCTCTGCTAGGTGCCAAGCTGAGGGAGGCAAGTCAGCATCTGCCATGCCGTCTGCCGTGTCCCCTTACCATCCCCAGCCCAGAGCAGTAGACTCAGGCTCTGTGGCTGACGGCCTGATTGCCAGACCCAGGGCAAAGTCCTGGGGCTTACAGAGAGGAATTGGGCACATCCCTGCCAACAACTCTTATGGAGCCAGTGGGGCAGCTAAATCAGCAGAGCTGGGATCTCCCAATCCTCAGGTCAGCAGCAGAGTCAGGAGCCGGGGCTGGGCAGGCAGCCCCCATGACCGGCTCAGCTGACAGCGCTGTGCCCACCACAGGGAGCCAAGTGGTTTTCGAAGGCCCCGCTCTGGGGCAGCAGGAGGACCAAGACTGGAATAGGTTGTGCAAGGCCATGACCCTGTGCATCTGCTACGCGGCCAGCATCGGGGGAACGGCCACCCTGACCGGGACGGGACCCAACGTGGTGCTCCTGGGCCAGATGAATGAGTGAGTCCTTGGTCACACCTTCTGGGGACTACAAAGTGGGTACCGGGGCTGGAGGGACCTGCCCATCTCTCTCTGCTCCTCCGCAGAGTCCTGGAGCTCGGGGCAGCCAGACCTGGCCTGGGAGCCTGGCAGGGGTGGAAAGATGTGGCCCCATCCAGCCTCTGTGTCCTGGCACCCCTACTGATACCAGGGGAGCCAACATCCAAGTCTGCTTTCTGCTATGACGCAAGAGCCACCACCTGCCCTGGGCTCAGGGATTCTGGCTCAGAGAGCGAGTGTGGATCGAACGCTGAGCTAAAGGCATGGCAGATGACAATGTACTTCCAGACGCTGGGTCCTTGGTTGAAACTTGTAGAAAACAGACACCTCTAAAAGACTCCCCACCACTCCCTTAGCTCACTGCCTTTGGTGGCTAACGGTGATGGTGCCGTGATATCTGAGGTCTACAGATGGTATGAAGGGCTGGGGTTGGGTCATTCACTGCCTCACTGCTTCCTTATAGTCCCACTGATTGCCTTTGAGGTGACAGGTCCCCTTGTGAGGTGTACAGGTGAACCATGGGGTGGTTTGGAACTTTCCAGCCTTGGTCACAAAGGGATGCAGGCCATGAGGACCCCATTTCTGTGCCTGGCCTTCTGCTGGGTGGGGCTGGGATCACAAGAGGGAGAGAAACCTGGACCCTGCCGCGCAGTAGTCATGGTCTGTTGAGGGTAGCAAGGTGCCTGGGGCTTCCAGGCACGTCTGGTAAATAAACGTATTAATTGAGGTATGTACTAATTGCAGTGGGCAGGAACAAAAATAAGGTGGTGCCATCCTTTGTAGACAGGAGGCTGGACAGGGGTGGGGAGGGCAGTGGGTGCAGGAGCTGGGAGGTGGAAAGGACAGGTCTGGAGCCTGGCTGGGCAGAAACTTGAGGTTCAACAACCCGTTTGTTTTAATTTCGGGAGTGTTTTCTGTAATGATATCCTTACAGTTCTCCAGTAACTTTCTTTGGGAAGAGTAGCCTGTCTGGGCTGAGTGGGGAAAGCTCTGCATCTGCTTTGACACTTTTGAGCTACAAGGGGCAGCCCGTGGGGCTAGCAGAGCCCCAGGGATGGGAGACGGGACCTGCGGCAGAAGTGGCCCTCCTCCAGCCTCCACTCTGGGAAGCTTTTGAGATTTGCTTTGCTAAGTCAGGGGACCATCCTTTGCAGAAACCCACAGGATGAGATTGCTGAGGGCTCTGTGGATCCTCAGAGCTCTCAGTCAAATTACACGCATGTGTATAAAAGGTGTATTTTTCTTTTCTTTTTCTTTTTCTTTTTTTTTTTTTTTTGAGACAGAGTCTCGCTTTGTTGCCCAGGCTGGAGTGCAGTGGCGCGATCTTGGCTCACTGCAACTTCTGCCTCCCGGGTTCAAGCGATTCTCCTGCTTCAGCCTCCCGAGTAGCTGGGATTACAGGCGCCCGCCACCATGCCTGGGTAATTTTTGTATTTTTAGTGGAGACAGGGTTTCACCATGTTGGCCAAGCTAGTCTCAAACTCCTGACCTTATGATCCACCTACCTCGGCCTCCCAGAGTCCTGGAATTACAGGTGTGAGCCACTGCACCCAGCCACAGGCTAGACCTCAGGAGGACATGGCCCCCACACAGGCCCGCCTCTCAGGGCCCAGCTGCTGCTCCGCCCCCACGCACAGGGCCGGGCTGGTTCACCACAGCTCAGCATCTGAGTTGGGGACCCGTGTCTCCTTGTAGGTTGTTTCCCGACAGCAAGGACCTCGTGAACTTTGCCTCCTGGTTTGCATTTGCCTTTCCCAATATGCTGGTGATGCTGCTGTTCGCCTGGCTGTGGCTCCAGTTTGCTTACATGAGATTCAAGTAAGTTTGAGCCGCTCACGGCCTCATTATACCTAATTATGCCTCCAAGCTGCAGAAGAGCCTTCAGACTCAATAGTCAGGTTTACAAAGTCCTCCGCGTCTGACCCTGATCTTTCTCCAGCCCCGTCTCCTGCTAGTCTACCCTCCTGTTCCTTCCACCCCAGGCTGCTCACTGAGCTTTGCGCACACGTGGTCCCCTCTTCCTGGAATGCCATTCTCTACCTTCCCACCTCCTCAGCCTTCGAGGCTAGCTCAAACGCTGCTTCCCTGACTTTCCCTCCAACCCCCATTCCATCTCTGAGCAGCCCCTGGGCATATCACAGTCCTGTCCTTTAGTATCTGCATTCGGGTTCCAGTGACTTTGAATTCCTCCAGAGCCACCCTGATGCCAGACACCCCACACAACTCCCAGCACAGGGAGCAAGAGCAGGCAGGTTAAAGCAATTAAAGATAAGCTGGTCCCCACGTGCCAGTTCGACATTGCTGGATGAGCTTCCTCTTGGCCGTGTGGGTTCATCAGGCCAGGTCATGGCAAACCTGTGACTTAGCTCTGAGCTAGCGCATATGCTCTGTGCCTCAATGTTGCTGACTACCTCTGATGTTCCCAGCAGTGTACAGGTCCTAGAAAGTTTACCTTCCTGTTCCTAGCACACAGGCAAGTTCAACAGGGGTCACCTTTGATGGCAGCCAGACTTTGGACAGAAACCATGACCTGTGGCTGACAAATAGCTAAAAAAAAAAGTTATTGTTTTTCTAAAACACACAAATTTATCTGTGGTGCAAAGGTGATGAGACCACAGCAGGATGGAAAGTACTCAGCTCTGAGTTAAGTGCATGTGCTCTGTGCCTCCGTCCACAGGGAGTTCGAGTCAAGTCAAACCAGGGGAATGTGTGACCAGAGCTGCGAGGCAAAAGTGCCCACGGAAACCCATGATTTCATGGGGAAAATAAGGAATTTTCCTAAGTGTTCTTCTGAAGGAGGAACTGTTCTGAAAACTCCTATTAAAAAGTTGCTATACAGGCCGGGCGCGATGGCTCACACCTGTAATCCCAACATTTTGGGAGGCCGAGGTGGGCAGATCGCCTGAGGTCAGGAGTTTGTAACCAGCCTGGCCAACATGGTGAAACCCCGTCTCTACTAAAAATACAAAAATTAGCCGGGCGTGGTAGCCCACGCCTGTAATCCCAGCACTTTGGGAGGCTGAGGCGGGCGGATCACCTGAGGTCAGGAGCTCAAGACCAGCCTGGCCAACATGGTGAAACCCCGTCTCTACTAAAAATACAAAAGTTAGCTGGGCGTGGTGGTGCACGCCTGTAACCCCAGCTACTCGGGACGCTGAGGCAGGAGAATTGCTTGAAGCCGGGAGGTGGAGGTTGCAGTGAGCCAAGATCATGCCACTGCACTCCAGCCTGGGCGACAGAGCAAGACTCTGTCTCAAAAAAAAAAAAAAAAAAAAAAGTTGCTATACACATTCAAAACAATCATAATAATGATAGTAAGAATAACAATATTAATGATCATTGCCCAAACCCTACTCTGCCCTGCCCGTGGATCGGGCAGGGGAAACTGTTCTCATGGCTGCCTGGCCACCCAGTTTGACTTTGACAGTAGCTGTCTTTGCCCTGCCTCTTGGATCTGCACCAGGGCCAAAGTCCTGTTCATTTGCTCACATCCATCGAACAGGTCTCTCAGGAGATGGTCCTGGACCTGCTGTAGGTGACCATGTGTGTCTCCTCATGGGGCAATAGAAACAATAATGACCAACATTTATTGAGTGCTCATTATGTGCCAGACATGATTTTGAGTGCTCTTTTTCTTTCTTTTCTTTTTTTTTTTTTTGAGACAGAGTCTTGCTCTGTCGCCCAGGCTGGAGTGCAGTGGTGCAATCTCAGCTCGCTGCAACCTCCACCACCTGCGTTCAAGCAATTCCCCCTGCCTCGGCCTCCCAAGTAGCTGGAATTACAGGAACCCACCACCACGCCTGGCTAATTTTTGTATTTTTTAATAGAGACGGGGTTTTGCCATGTTGGCCAGGCTGGTCTTGAACTCCTAACCTCAGGTGATTCGCCCTCTTTGGTCTCCCAAAGTGCTGGCATTACAGACGTGAGCCACCTCGCCTGGCCCAAGCACTCTTAAACTTAATTTTCACAACAACCTGTGAGGTCGGCACTATTATTATTCCCAATTTACAGACAAGGCCGCTGAGGCATGGAGAGGTTATGTGGTCGACACAGGGGTGTGTCACAGGGCAGTAGGGGGACTGAGACTTAAACCCAGGCATTTTGGCTTCCACTGTGCGTGGCATCCGCTTTTGGGGAGTCTGAGGGTTGCTGCCCTTAGTTGCCTCCAGACCTAAGCATGACCAGGTGTCACAAGCACTAGTTGGGGCCCGAGGCTGCCCTAGAACTCCAAGGCCTACTGAGAAAGAGGAGGGAGACAGCGTGGCGCTGGGGCCAAAAGGGCACCATCCGCTTCTTGTCTGGCCAGAGGCGGATGTCAGGTCCCTGGAGACTCGCAGCCAAGAACCTGAAGCTGAGTCCACCCAGTCTGGCACGGCCTTCATCAGCTCTCGTTGACTGGCAGGGGAGCCTGAGAGTGTCCACAGCAGGGGTCTTCTGAGCATGCTCGTGGTGGGGTGCGTGGCTGCAGTCCAGTCCCAACCCTTCCCGACGGGCCACTCTGGTTTGGACACACGCAGTGTGACTGGCCGGGGTGGCTCACAGGAGCTTTGTTTTGGTTCCAGATCTGGAAGGTAGAGGACAGCTTTTACATTCGGTTTGAGTCATGGGAGCAGTGCTCTGGCCCAGGCCACGTCCTGCCACAAACTAGGACCTGGTAGTCCCTGCCTGCCTTTGTGGCCTCATGGGCCTCCCCACCTGAGCCCAGGGAGCACCTGTCTCAGCTGCAGGAAGCAGCTCCACTGTCAGCTCTGCTCTCACTTGAGTTCCTCATCTGAACGATCGTGGAGAACGGGGTTAAGGTCTTGGCCTCTAGCCTAATCCAGAAAAACTATCTTGCTGAGGAGCGTAGTGTAGCCTCCTAGGCTATATCTAGCCAAAGGGGCCAGACCCCACCCCAGGTCCCCCAAGAACCACATGGGATATTATTACTGGTTATACGTAACTGTCCCAACCAGGCTCACCTCCTGTAATAGTGATGAGGGTTCTTTGGGACCCCTGCCAGGGCGGAGGCATGCAAAGCGCAAGGATCTCTCCCCTCTTCTTGGCTCTGCAGCACATTCAGTCCAAGTTTACCACGGTGCATCATGGTGAAGGCTGTTCTGCTGCAGGACACTGTGGTCCCCACCCCCTGACCCTGACCTAGGCCCCTCACAGGCCAACTGGATCAATTCACTTGCATCTCATGCCAGCCTGGTCATCACCAGATGAAATTAACCCAGAGAGTGAGAGCAAAGCTGCTTAGCACGACAGGCTCTGAAGGCTTAGCTGTACCACTGTGGGGCACCAGCATTGGACGGTTACATACTCCATGCAGCCCCTGAGTCTGCAGCTACTGTGGTGCTGGGGATGAGCCGCCAGCACCAAATGCAGGCTCTGGCTCCTGGGCCACTAGTAATACCAAGGTCACCCCTTATGCTGGAAACCTGAAGCCCCTGGCTGAGCCCCACGGTCTCTAGGACGACGGGTGGCAGCAGATAGGTGCTTGATAGAGCATAAACTTTACCAAGCCAAGGGCGTGACCACAGACAGGCCCCGTCTTACACAGTGGAGCCATTCCCATGCCCGATGTCGGGAGAGTGTCCCTAGCGGGTGGCCCTCAGGACACACAGCCTTGCCCCCTTGCCCAACAGGGAAATGATAGCCAGCTGTGCATACCTGAGATCCCCTCAGTGTTGCCTCCTTTTCTGACCCCTGAGCACCCCAGAAAGCTGTGACCTGATGTCCTGGTGCCCCCGTGTACCAGGCCAAGCCACCATCACACCAACACTTGGCCCTCACACTCTCCAAGGCTGTTCACATCCAGCACTGGCTTCAGGATTGAGATCCTGTTCCATCAACCCCTGCCCTCCTGTGATTATGTCTCAGGGCCCCTGGGAGGGCTCTCACAAGGGAGGGCTCTCCAGGACAATACTCCTGGCCTTGCCCACCCCTTCAAACCAACAGTGGCTGGAACTGGAATGTGTGAATGGCCTCTTCAGCATACCTTAAGGCCTTTGTCCTGTGCACAGTGGCCCCAGTTATCCCCTCTCCACAGCTGAGCTCCCCTCTACACCTCCTCCAAGAACCTCCTCTCCTCCCTGCCTCCTCATGCCAACACCACCTTAGGGGAGGCCCTGCAGGACGCCCTGGACAATGGATACTGGTCCCAAGGGTCCCATCCAGGATGGGGGCACTCATCCTGGGCTGGCTTCCTTCCTGCCCTAGCCATGCCTGCTGCTAACCCCAGGGTCTCCTGGATCCCTAATCCTGCACCTCCAGCTCCAGGGAACGCAAGGACCATTCTGCCCCTGACTAGCCCTGTCTGCCAGGGTTCATACTCACTCCCTGCGTCTCCCTGAGCCACCTTGGTGATGGCGGTTAGCATCCCAACACCATCGAAGGCAGCTCCAGGCTGAGGTGGAAGGAGGAAGACTTGGGGAGCGTGTGAAGGAGCCCTGATCCCACCTTGCACAGGCTCTGGAACTTCTTATGGCCTTCCCCCAAGTGACCCTGGAGCAGCCAGTCTCCAGGTGACTGGGCACCTGCGAAGACCCTCTAGGCTCTCTACAGAGACTTTTCCCTACTACATTCTGGGATGGAAGAACAGTGGGGGGAAAGAGGCAGGAAGGGCCTTTCTCCAGGTCCTACAGCAGGCGAGGACAGTATTATGTGTCATTTTGCTACATTCTGCTGTAGAACATTTAGGCTCCATCTGACCAGCACCTGAGCCAACCAGTCTGCCCTGCCCTTCTCTCATCTTTGCATTCTCCAGTTTTAAAAAGTCCTGGGGCTGCGGGCTAGAGAGCAAGAAAAACGAGAAGGCTGCCCTCAAGGTGCTGCAGGAGGAATACCGGAAGCTGGGGCCCTTGTCCTTCGCGGAGATCAACGTCCTGATCTGCTTCTTCCTGCTGGTCGTCCTGTGGTTCTCCCGAGACCCCGGCTTCATGCCCGGCTGGCTGACTGTCGCCTGGGTGGAGGGTGAGACAAAGTAAGTCTTTGATTCAATAGAAATCACTGGCTTAGGGCCAGGCGCGGTGGCTCACACCTGTAATCCCAGCACTTTGGGAGGCTGAGGTGGGTGGGTCACCTGAGGTCAGGAGATCGAGACCATCCTGGCTAACAAGGTGAAACCCCATCTCTACTAAAAATACAAAAAATTAGCCAGGTGTGGTGGCAGGTACCTGTAGTCCCAGCTACTCAGGAGGCTGAGGCAGGAGAATCGCTTGAACCCAGGAGGCGGAGGTTGCAGTGAGCCGAGATCATGGCACTGCACTCCAGCCTGGGCGACACAGACAGACTCTGTCTCAAAAAAAAAAAATAAATAAAAATAAAATTTAAAAAAACACACACATCACTGGCTTAGTGCACTGGTGCCTAAATGCTGCTGTTCTCAGCTACAGGTGGCAAGAGGAATGTGCCCCAGGCACTCATGCTTGGTCAAGACTTTTCCTTTTTTGGGAGCTGGGTTTCAGAGAGCACTTTGTGGTTTCATGACTTATTTTTGTTTTCTGACCAAGCTTCACAATAAGACCCCAAATGTGTTCCTGTGGTATCCTCTCCTCCCTGAGTAGGCTGAGCAGAAAATCCTTGGCCAGGCAGGGGTGTCCAGAGCTGTGATGTGAGAGATTTCTTGGGCTGGGAGTAGGGCTCCCAGAGCTCTGGTTTCCAAATCTCTGCTCTGCCATCTTCCCTTTCTTATCTTCACATCTGGTCAAATCCCTCCAAAGACACACATCTAGGGAGCGTCGTAGACAGAGACTTGGCAAAGGGGGTACATGTGGTTTCTTTCCTGGCTAAGACATTGTCAGAATGTAAGAAAGGATGAGAAACATGTACATCCTAGAAAAGGCAGAAGATGTGGGCAGGGAGATGCTGCCTATCATGGCCATTTCGTTTGGAAGGTAGGCTTGGGTCAGCACCAAAGTCTTTGTGGTCATCCTGGTGAACCCAGAATTCTGGAGAACCTGGTCAAGAAGAGGTCCTGAAATACACCTATGGAGAATGCATGCTGAGAGGCTGAATTAGGCTGCTTAGGATCACCCAAAGTTGGTGGTCAAGAGTGTGGGCATTTTGATTTCCAGTCAGAATTCAGTCTACCACATCAGTCTTATCTTTTTATTTATTTATTTTTTTTGAGACAGAGTCTCACACTGTCATCCAGGCTGGAGTGCAATAGCATGATCTCGACTCACAGCAACCTCCGCCTCCTGGCAATTCTCCTGCCTCAGCCTCCCGAGTAGCAGGAATTACAGGCGCCCGTCACCACATCCGGCTACTTTTTTTGTATTTTTAGTAGAGACGGGGTTTCACTATGCTGGCCAGGCTGGTCTTGAACTCCTGACCTCGTGATCCACCCGCCTCAGCCTCCCAAAGTGCTGGGATTACAGGCGTGAGCCACCGCGCCCAGCCACCACTCTTGACCTTGACTTTTAGGGCTATGTGAGCCTGTTTCTTTGCATAGGAACACTTGGACACAGAACTGCCAGAGTTCGGATGGGTTTGTTGAGTGACTGTCTCTGCAGCAGCTGAGCTGTGCTTTTCCCCACCTAGGTATGTCTCTGATGCCACTGTGGCCATCTTTGTGGCTACGCTGCTATTCATTGTGCCTTCACAGAAGCCCAAGTTTAACTTCTGCAGCCAGACTGAGGAAGGTAAGTCTCCTGTTCTGATGGCCCAGTCATCGGGACTGGAGCCCTGGAAGCAAAGGGTCATTATGGGATTCCCTGGGCCCTAGAGGGAGACAGTGCCTCCCAGATAAAGCCTGGGAGACAGTGGCTTTCAAGCTACCGGTGGTATTATTTAGTGCAAAATCTCTTTTTTGCTTTTTAACATTTGAATTTAACATTTGAAATTTTATCTATATTACAACAGGAACAGAAAATGTTTCAAATTTTCCATAACACTGATTTCCATTCAGCAATTTTTTGTTTTCTCTCTTCCTCTCAGTCTTTGCTAATATGCCTATCTATTACATTATAATCAAAACACACACCGTTTGAATCCTATTTCTTTGTTTCTTCTTCCGCTTTTGATTGATATTACACTATAAACATTTCCCGCTATTGCTACAGTCTTCAAATATATTTTCTCTAATAATGGCATTATATTGCACTGAGGGGTTGCAATCATTCTGCTGTTATAGAACATTTTGGCTGTTTTGAATTTATTTTCATAAATTAATGTTTTCTTCTCTATAGCTTTTTGTTTAAGGGTATTTTTTCTTTAGGATAAACTTCTAGGAGTAACATTGCTGGGGTGATAGAATATAAAGTCTTAATGGCCCTTAAAATGTATGGCCAAATTGCTTTTCAAAAAGGTTATACCAATTTATGATGCTATTAGCAAAGTGTGTAATAGTTTGACCATATCCTCACCAGCAATGTATATATTATTGTAAACTTTAGCTAATTTATAGGTAGGAGATGGTACCTCATTGTCCTTAACGGCTTTACTCCCCCTTGATTAGATTTCTTTTGTCTCCTAATGATGCTATGGGGTGTGTGTGTGTGTGTGTGTGTGTGTGTGTGTGTGTGTGTGTGTTTATTTTTCTTCCCAGAAAGGAAAACTCCATTTTATCCCCCTCCCCTGCTGGACTGGAAGGTAACCCAGGAGAAAGTGCCCTGGGGCATTGTGCTGCTACTAGGGGGCGGATTTGCTCTGGCTAAAGGATCCGAGGTAAATTCTCTAGCCACCGGCTGCCCAAAGCCCTCTTCTTGGTCAAGAGGGTGGCGTTTCTCCTCCCTTCCATCCATGGGCTTGTGTGTTCCTATGCCTGCATCCTTCGTATAATCGCACGTTCCTTGAGGACATGGATTCTGTCTTGTAATCTAAGAACTCTACATCACACATAGGGCCTGGAAGACAGAAAGTAACCTTTGAGCGATTGCAGGAATGAGGGAATGAGTGACCGTGGTTAGCCAAGAGAGGCAGAGGACACTGTCAGGTACCCTCTGGGGTTTGATCACTGTAATCTCTGCTTTGATTTGTCTGAGGGAAATCTTTCTTTCCAGTCCTTGCCAATATTGTTTGCTACTACCTTTGGTCCTTCTACTGGCTGAACTCTTTGTTAACATGGTAGCTACTTCAAAATTTTTCTTTAGCTAAGTATGTAGCAGCATAGGAAGAGAAGAACATGTTGGAAAATACACAAAAATATAACTTTCTTTACCTCCTTCTATCCCTCCTGGGGATAGAAATGAACCAGAAGGAGAGATGAGCCAGCTTGCTGCTGCTGAATCTGCCCAGCCATCCAGGAGTGTAATAGACAGACTTGGTCTTGTTATTGCTGTTTCTTCAATATCTAGGACACAGCCTGGTGCCTAGTGGGTGCTAAGTTTTTGTGGGGGTGAACGAATCCATCTATCTAGTCACCTCTCCATCCATTCATCCATGCATCTATGCATGTCTTCATCCATCCATCCATCCATCCATCCATCCAACCATCCATCCATCCATCCATCCATCCATCCATCCATCCATCCATCTGTCCATCCATCCATCCATCTATCCATCCATCCACTCATTCAACCATCCATCCATCCACCCATCTATCCATCCATCCATCCATCCATCCATCCATCCATCTGTCCATCCATCCACCCATCTATCTATCCATCCACTCATTCAACCATCCATCCATCCACCCATCTATCCATCCACCCATCCATCCATCCATCCATCCATCCATCCATCCATCCATCCATCCAAAATTCCTATTAGTGTTAGGCCAGGCACAGAGATTACAGAGGAGATTGAGATATGGTCCCTGTTGGTGACAGACTTCACAGACTAGGGAGGGGCACATATGTGGAAGGGCATTTCAGGAAGTGGCACACAGGCTAGGGAAAAATGTGAGGTATTTAGCTGAGGAGAAAGTAGAAGAGGAGGCTGGTGAGGCTACCAGAAACCACTTCTCTGAGGGCCCCAAGATAGGGGGGTGTGGACTTGATTGTGAAGGCAGTAGACAGCCACTGAAGGACTGAGGCCAAGGGGTGAGTTGGTCAGATCTGCATGTGAGGAAATCACTCTGATGTCTGGGGTGGGGGCCTGGGATAAGCAGGGTTTGGAGGAGAGCTAGCTGAGACTCTGCAGCCTTCATCTCACTCAGGCTCAGAACTTTGGACTCTGTGAACATTCTCTCCTCCTCTGGCCGCCAGCTCAGCACAGTCTCCAGCTTTACTTCAGACTCGGACTCTTCCTGCTCAGCCTTCATTGCTGATTTCTCCTCTGTTCTCCCTGAAATAAGAGTGTCTGCCCATGCTCTGTCCTTGGCCTCTCCTCTTTTCACACTTGATTCTCTCCCTGGACAATCTCTTCTCAGCCCAAAGCCCTAAATCTAAACCCTCGATTTCTGGCCGAAATCATTCTTCTGAGCTTCCAAAACTGTGGAGGGCTGAGGAGGAGATGGATGTGAGACGTTTGGGTGACTTGGCGACTGACTAGGTTTAAGGAAGGAGGGGAACAGAGACCAGCAGCATGACTCCCAGCCTACTGGGCTGGATGGCTGGTGGATGGTGAGTCCCTTCACCAGACTGGGAGGCCCAGAGAGAGAAGCAGATTCCAGTCTATGGAGGATGAATGCAGGGTGGAGCATTTGAGTCTATTGTGCTCTTGGGACATCTGGGTGGACACTTCCAGAAGGCGTAGGGGTGTGTAAATCCACGTAGTAGGCCAGCTGGCTGGAAATACAGATTTAGGAGAGAGCAGAGTGACGATGGGAATGAAAATGGTGGGAATGGATGAGGTCACCTATGAGGTGTAGAGAAACAGGGTCGGGAGGGGAGGACGGGCCAAGCTTGCTCTGGCCCTGAAGGAACTGCAAGCTGGGAGCCCTCAGATGACTGCCCTCCTGGTGCTTCCCAGGCCTCGGGGCTGTCCGTGTGGATGGGGAAGCAGATGGAACCCTTGCATGCAGTGCCCGCAGCAGCCATCACCTTGATCTTATCCTTGCTTGTTGCCGTGTTCACTGAGTGCACAAGCAACGTGGCCACCACCACCTTGTTCCTGCCCATCTTTGCCTCCATGGTAAGTAACCTGATGGTGGGGAGGGGCCCTTCCACTTCACAGGAAGCTGCCAACCCATGGCCATGTTGTGGGTTCCTGACGAGGCAGCGATATCCAGGCCAGAGTCAGACCAGGCTTTGGAGACCTGGGTCTGGCTGTGACATGGATTTGTGTACCCTGGATGCCTCTGCCCCTGAGGCCTCTGCTGCTTTGCCACTCCTCTTTGTACCCCTCATGCTGACCAAAGCACCAACCATGGACCAAGTGCTCAAGTTTATTTTATAAATCTAACTGGATTGTTTTTCAAGCTGGGGAGACAGGACTTGGGCTAAGGAGGAGCAGGCCAGTGCCATGGTCTCTGAGCATGTAGCACAGGTGTGTGGGAGGACTGCAGACCAGGAGCACCACTGGCCGGAACCCCCCAGGAAGAGGCCTTGGAGGAGTGGGGACTTGGGCGTAGGTAGGAGGGGAGAGAGAATTCTGGCAAGATGGAGCAGCACAAGTAAAGGCAATGGTGCACATGACCGAGGACTCTGGAAGCCTTGCTTGGTGAGCACAGGGATAAGGGATCCCAGGGAATTGAGAGGGGTAGCTGTTGGTCGTGGGAAAAGCTGCTGAGTGCCAGGCTAAAGCGTTCTGTTCTATGGACAAGCATGTTTTTGGGTTGGGATTGAGAAGAAAGGAGAGCTTATAGGAAAATCAGTGGCTTTTTTTTTTTGCATTTCCTTCTGTCATCCATTGCAAAGACACACCAGCTTCAGGGTAGCATGGAAAGATCCCTGGTCTCGCAGTCAGAAGACCCGAGTTCAAGATGTGGGATCTCTGAACATGGCCCTTAAGTGCTTTCCTCTGAGAGCTGTGCTGATGGCCACGTAAGATGAGGGCTATGAAAAGCCTCTGTAGACTACAAAATGAGCATGGGAGAGGCTGTCATTATTCTGGAATTGGGAGACAGATTTCCAGAGGGCCTGGACACAGGATTGAAGGTGGTGAATTTCCATTCAGCTGCCTGGGTGTCTGTGTGTATAAAAAGTAAACCTAAGTGTTTTTTTTTTTTTTTTCTCTTCCAAGTGAAGATGAATGTTAAAAATAGCAAGGAGGTGAAAGTGTTAAAAATAACGAAGTGGTCTGTCTCCTCTTCTCCTAAGCAGACTGTCCAAACAGATGCCCGGTAGGAGGAGCACCCTTGATGCTAGGCAAGGCACATGGTGGTGATGCCTCCTCTCTCCTAGCACAGACCCTGGCTTTGTCATCTCCAGCCCTAACTGGGAGCACCGAGGGCCCCAACCAGGAAAATGCAGGCCCTAATGGGCTCTTTGAAAACAAGTTTTTCTAGAACCAGGAACCCCAAGTAAAATTTCCCCTAGCTACCTCTAAGGCCCATCACACGTCTGTCTCACGCCCACCTGTGAGAAAGGAAAAGGTGATGGTCCTTGGGCTGGGCTGCAGAGGAGTGTGGGGTGCAGACACCATGAGGTACCCACAGTCAGGAAAATGAGGATGGTCAGGGAACCAAAACATTAAACCTGCTCAGACCCGTTGACTCAGCGATTTCGTGTCTGGGAATATATCTTAGGAAAGTAATCAGAGATGCCTACCAACATATGTTATGATGATGTATGACACAATTATTATACAAATATATCCATAGTAAAAGGGGGTTTGCTGAAATAAATTATCATATATTCATGTAATGTAACACTGTCAGGCCATTAAAAATCAGTTTCAAAGGGTAATAAAATGGGAACATGCTCATAGTATAGATTTTTTAAATTGCAGATGATATATGGCTAAAAATGTCTAATAATGCAAAGATGTATACAGACCTTAATCCTCTAGCCTCCTCCCTAGAGATGACCTCTGTTATTAATTTCTCAGGTATCTTTCTGGATATTTTACACACACACACACACACACACACACACATACACATTCTTTTTAAATAAAGGGTATCATTCTATAGTCATTACACATCTTATTTTTATTTATTTATTTATTTTTTGAGACAGAGTTTCACTCTTGTCACCCAGGCTGGAGTACAATGGTGTGATCTCAGCTCACTGCAACCTCTACCTCCCGGGTTCAAGCGATTCTCCTGCCTCAGCTTCCCGAGTAGCTGGGATTACAGGCACCCACCACCTTGCAGGGCTAATTTTTGTATTTTTAGTAGAGATGGGGTTTCACCACGTTGGTCAGGCTGGTCTCGAATTCCTGACTTCAGGTGATCCGCCCACCTCGGCCTCCCAAAGTGCTGGGATTACAGGCATGAGCCACTGCGCCTGGCCATACATCTTAATTTTTTAAAAATCTAACCATCGGTCTTGGAGATCTTTCCTTATTGACACAAAAAACCAATCAATTCTTTACAGCTGCATACTATTCCATCATTTGTATGTGTCATATTTTATTTAATCATCCCGCTATTAATGACCATTGAGTTGGCTTCCTGCGTTTTGCCATTACATTGTTGCAACAAACATGTTTGCATGTGTCTTCCCTCATGTGCATGTAAATCTGGATGATACATGATTGACTTGATAGATTTTAGGAACTACATCGTTCATTCATACACTCAACAACTATTTAATGAGTGCCTACTCTCTGGTAGGTGCTGTTAGATGTGGCTAAATTTTAAAGTGTAGAATTTAAATGGTAGGCTACCAAATTCCATGTGCAAAATGACCCCACGCATGTATAAAAACACACACATCCACAGATTTATATGCAGGAGAGAAGATGTGGTCCCTGGCCTCTAGGCTGTCTCTGTGGCAGGACAGACAGACAAGTGCACATGGCACTGTAAGGTTGAGCACAGTCTAAGTACTCAGCATGGTCTCTGGCACATAGTAGGTGCCCAAGAAATACATGTGGAATGAATTGAGGGGGTAAGGGCTTCCAGGGCAGGTAACCTCTAAGTGCAGCCTTCAGTGCTCTGTAGGTGGAATTATCTGCTAGAGACGTGGCAAAAGGGAGAGGAATCAAGACAGAGGCCCAGAGGTTCAAACGTACCCGGCACATTCAGAGAATCCCTTTCAGAATCGCGTGCCCAAGAGCTTCTGTGTCCTGTACAGTGATGTTGCAGTGCTGTGTTTTTCGGCAGTCTCGCTCCATCGGCCTCAATCCTCTGTACGTCATGCTGCCCTGTACCCTGAGCGCCTCCTTTGCCTTCATGTTGCCTGTGGCCACCCCTCCGAATGCCATCGTGTTCACCTACGGGCACCTCAAGGTTGCTGACATGGTAACAGCTGTTTTTATTTACTCCCATCGGACTATAATGCTGTTGTCATAAGGGATGCCCCATTTATGAATGACAGAGTTGCGAAACGATGTCACGTGATTTGGGAATACCGCGGGGCATCCAGACCTGTAGCCGTTGCTGACATTTATAAGGGAGCTTTTCTTCTTTTTTTGAGATGATCTCAAGCCTCACACACTGTTCTTTCTCTGAGGTGGGTTATAGACTCTCCCACCTGGAGAAGCCCGTGCAGGCACCAGGGGAGTCCTTGGAAGGGGTGAAGATGGGGCTGAGGGACTCACATGGCCAAGGATGGACTTGACAAATTAGCAAGAACCGTGAAGATAGGCAGGGCAGGCTTAGGCAGCAGGGGATGCTAGTGACAGTCACAGAGATTCGTAGGGGTGTCTGAAGAGGCAGAAGCAGGGAGAGGAAGAGAGAGACCACTGCTTGGGAGTAGATGATGCCTTGGAAACAAATGTAGTCAGCGGAAGAACTCTTCATGCCTGGCTTGGCTCTGTCACCTTTGCTGGGAGAAGGGCAGCTTTGCAGCTCTGGGCTGGGAAAGGGGCAAGTGTATGAGCCCAGGAGGCCAGAAATGTCCCTTGGACATTTGATGTTCATTATCTCAGAACCTCGGCTGGGTATCTCGGGGACTCCAAGGAGCATTTTCATAAATAGGGTGGGTCCCAGAAACCATGGACTGCAAACTTGATTACAGTCCCCAGTAAAATATCTACAACAGGCTAGTGAAGCAACGGTTAGTGATCATGAGGGAAGATTGCAGAGCGGGCATCAGAAAGAGCCTGAGGAGGTCCATGGGGAAGCTGGCACATCCTTGTAGGATGGTTAAGGCACTGGGGTGAGCAATGAACCTGGACTCACACACTGGGCTCTGTCACCGTTTCCCTGAATGGCCTAAGCTGTTGCCTCCTGTCACCTCTCTGACGTCATTTTCCAAATGCTCACGGGCATAGAGAACCCATCTGTTCTGCCTACTTCCCAGGGATGCCTTGAGCACTGAGGATACCTGGGAGACATGAAGTCGCTCTGTCCTGGGGGTCAGGACACCCCAGCCAGGGACAGAGCATGGCATGGGGACACTGAGGTCCAGTGAGCCGACGCTTTGTCCTCCTCTTTGAGAGCGCTAGTTCCCAGCAGGCCTCAGGGTGCTGACTCTGACACTGTCTCTTTTCCAGGTGAAAACAGGAGTCATAATGAACATAATTGGAGTCTTCTGTGTGTTTTTGGCTGTCAACACCTGGGGACGGGCCATATTTGACTTGGATCATTTCCCTGACTGGGCTAATGTGACACATATTGAGACTTAGGAAGAGCCACAAGACCACGCACACAGCCCTCGCCCTCCTCAGGACTACCGAACCTTCTGGCACACCTTGTACAGAGTTTTGGGATTCACACCCCAAAGCGACCCAATGATGTCCACACACCACCAAAACCCAGCCAATGGGCCACCTCTTCTTCCAGGCTCGGGTGCAGAGATGGTCATGGGCAGCTGGAGGGCAGGCTCAGAAATGAAGGGAACCCCTCAGTGGCGTGCTGGACCCATCTTTCCCAAGCCTTGCCATTATCTCTGTGAGGGAGGGCAGGTAGCTGAGGGATCAGATGCAGGCTCCTGTACCCGCTCTGCCTCAAGCATCCCCCACACGGGGCTCTGGTTTTCACTCGCTTCGTCCTAGGTAGTTTAAATGGGAATCAGACCCCCTGGTTGAGAGGTAAGACAACACCCACCCTTGCCCATGCCCCTTCCGGCTCTCCTTGAGCAGCCTGAGATCATCTCTGTCACTCTGAAAGGGTCACCCCAGCCAGGGACAGAATGCCTGGTCTTGCGCAACCTTCCGCTGCGAGAGTGGGAATCAGAACCTTCTGGAGCCTCTGGGAACTCCTCGTGTGGCCACCACCAAAGGATGAGGAATCTGAGTTGCTAACTTCAGGATGACACCTGGCTTCCCACCCACAGCGCACCACAGGCTGACCTACTCCCTTTGTCACGTTGTTCTGTTTTAATCGACTGGACCCCTGTCCCACCTGTCCAGTGAGCCTCCTTCAACTCCTTGGTCCCCTGTTGTCTGGGCCAGCATTTGCCGAGATGCCCTGGCTGGCACTCTCTGGGGGTCCCCCTTTTCTCCCAGGCAGGTCATCTTTTCTGGGAAATGCTTCCCCTGCCGTCCCCAAATAGCTAGGATCACACTCCAAGTATGGGCAGTGATGGTGCTCCAGGGGCCACAGTGGGCTATCTAGGTCCTCCCCCACCTGAGGCCCAGAGTGGACACAGCTGTTAATTTCCACTGGCTACGCCACTTCAGAGTCTTTCATGCCAGAGTTTGAGCTCCTCTGGGGAAAGCCTTTCCTTTGTTGACTGGTCTTCACAGCCATAGCTGGTGACAACAGAGGATTGCTGATCTCTCAGCAAACAACCCCTGCCTGTGGGCCAATCTACTTGAATTTACTTGGACAAAGACCCCAAAGTGGAGCAACAACTCCAGAGTGGCTGTGGGAATCTTCAGAACCCCCCTGTAAGAGACGGACATGAGAGACAAGCACCTCCTTTCCCCGCAAGTCCATTTTATTTCCTTCTTGTGCTGCTCTGGAAGAGGGGCAGTAGCAAAGAGATGGGCTCCTGGATGGCATTTTCCAGGGCAGGAGAAAGTATGAGAGCCTCAGGAAACCCCATCAAGGACCGAGTATGTGTCTGGTTCCTTGGGTGGGATGATTCCTGACCACACTGTCCAGCTCTTGCTCTCATTAAATGCTCTGTCTCCCATGGAAAGCTCCACTGTGCTGCTGACTTGTCTCTGGTTTTCTGCAGTGTGGGGAGCCCAGGGAGGCGGATGAATGAACGGTTACTCCCTGCTCACCGACTGGGTGTCAGGCCTCCCTGTCCCTGTTGAATCCACTAGTCATCTCATTCTATCTTTGCAGCAACCCTGTGAGATAGGAAAGTGTTATTATCCTGCTTTATCTTTCAAAAAAAAAAGTGAGGTTCAGAGAGGCCAAGGGAAGTGTCTGAAGTCACACATCAAGTTACTAGCAGTTACAGTTCCAACCTAGAGCTTCCAACTCCATACTCCCTGCTCTTCTGCTAGCCATGAAGGGCTTTGACCTTATGGGGCTTGTAGGGAAAGGTGAGTGGCCAAGAGCAAGTCCATGCCAAAGGAAGATCCAAACATGAGTCCCTGTCTGTTGCCTCCCTTGAGATAGGCACAGGACAAGTGATCAATGAGACGGGGTGGTCCTTGCCCTAAGAAGCAAAGTGTTTGGTTGGGGAGGGAAGTAGGGAAAAGACTGCCATCTCCCCCTACCAAGGTACAACTGTTCTTCCTCCCCAACCCTCTATCACTGCCTTCCGTGCTGCTGCTGTTGACTGGCCTGCCCCACCAGACTGAGGGCTCTGACTGCCCACCGAGTCTAGTGTCAGCATTATGACTGACCCAGGGCAGGCTGTATAGTTAGTATGATGGATAAATAAATGATTGGTCAGTGTGGTCCGTTAGGTGCAAGCTGGTGGTAGTAGGCAAGGTCAATGAAGGTCATCCAAGGTAGGCATTGAAGGATGAGTAGAATGGCCAGGGGTAATGGGGGAGGAACTGGTGGGTGGGTGGAGGACTCTTCCAGACACCATGTGGTTGAGGGCTGACAGAAAGCTAGGTGGAGGGCTTCCAGAGTGCCAAGCTCCCACCTGAAGAGGCTGACCAGAGGCCAATTCTAAATAACTTCTCTAGGAGTTGGCCAGAGTTGCACTAACATGTATGGTCTCCCCAACCAAACACTTTGCTTCTTAGGGCAAGTACCACTCTGTCTCATTGATCACTGTCCTGAGCCTATCTCAGGGGAGGCAACAGGGAGGGACCCATATTCGGAGATCTTCCCTTGGCATGACTTGCTCTTGGTCACTCACCTTTCCCTACAAGTCCTGTGAGGCCAAGGCCCTTCATGGCTAGTGGAAGGAGCAGTGGGCATGGAGTTGGAAGATCTGGATTGGAACTGTAACTGCCACTAACTTGACTTGTGGTTTTGAATGCTTAACTTGGCCATACGTGCTCTCTTATTTGCTTCTGATGGCAAATAAGAGAAGGCCCAGCAAACAGTGGCTTAAACCAGAAGGTCATTTAATGTTTGCTTTTCTGGAAGTCTGTAGGTAGGTGGTTGCTGGCATTGGCCCAACAGCTCATTTCAGCCTCCAAGGACTTGGGCTCCATAGTCCACTCTGTCATCTTAAAGCCATCACACTTTTATCCCCATGCTTGATCCCCAGGCTACATACACAGCTGCTTTCCTTCAAGGCAGAAAGGTGGGTGGGGTGAGGGCATGATGGTGTCAGCTGCATCTTTTTTACTAGGAAAGTAAAAGCTTCCTCAGAAGCCCCATGCAGACTTCCCTTTATGTCTTATGGGCCTTAAGTGGGTCACATGCCTACCCTTAGACCCACCATTCACAAAGGGGAATCGGAGTCCCATTGGAATACTGTGACCAATTAAGACTCATTTCTTGGGGTTGGGGAATTAGCCTATGTTTCCCCAAATTGAGCTATTTCCACCCACTACAAAATCTGGGCTCTGGCAGGAAAAAACAGTGGGAGGAGGTGTTGGGTAGGCGATGATAAGTGTCCAGCGTGATCACTCCATGAGATCTGAGTGACCCTCTTTCCACAGAATTCAGTAGAAGCGTGTTGCTAGGTAGGAAGTGAGTACATGGTTGTCTGGTCAAGAGCTTCAACAATGCCTCCAATTCCCAACAGGTAGGCCCTCTGCAGGGGTCCTGTGGATTGGGAGGCTAGAGTCTGAGCCACGGACGGAGCTCCGTCCTGACATCTGACACCGAATAAATCATGCTGCGCTCTGGGTCTCGGTTTTCTTCATGATGGCGGTGGACCAGAGGGTCTCTAAGGGCTTTTCCCAGAGTCACGGATCCTCTTACCCTAGTTGACCCTCCCTCTGCTTGGGCCAGATGCAGCACCCCCATCCCAATCTCCCATGTTGTCTCATCTTGGAGCCTGTCCAAGGTCCCACTGCCTGCTTCCCTATGGGGCTTCACTGAAGGCCATCTAAGGCCTTTCCCCCGTCTATATGTTGCCTCTGACATTTTGTAAAGAGGATCCACCCTAGGCCTTTGAGTTCTCTCTTCTTAGTGCTTGGATCAGACATCTGGGCTTGAGGTTAGCTGAACACACAATTTTGACCAGGATTGCTTTCTTAATTTTTTTTGGCAGGGACTTACGGCTCCACAAAGATTCTTTGCATTCCAAAATTAAGTCCCTGGGCTCCGTAGCCTCTGATCTCTGAATGAGATGCTCCTGAGGGCAGGACACAGGTCTCCTCCCCTGTTCATCATGAGCTGAGAGCTTTCTTGGAGAAGGACCGGGGTCTCCCCGTCTGGCATTTACCTGGGACAGGTGAAGTTTTCTCTCCTCCCCACCATCTCTTGCGCATAAACAAAACAAGTCTTTGCTCTAGGTTCCAAGCAGGATACCAGCTCACTAGCACAAAGCCCAGTCCTTGAGATGAACAAATCAGGATGTTCTTGGGTGAGACCTGTAATGGCATGTTCTTGTCTGTGGAAATAGAGTCCAAAAGCTGTATTGTCCGGTTAAAAACTACAGCTGGCAGCCGGGTGCAGTGGCTCACGCCTGTAATCCCAACACTTTGGGAGGCTGAGGCAGGTGGATCACGAGGTCAGGAGTTCAAGAACAGCCTGGCCAAGATGGTGAAACCCTGTGTCTACTAAAAATACAAAAATACTAGCTGGGCATGAGAGTGGGCGCCTGTAATCCCAGCTACTCGGGAGACTGAGGCAGAGAATTGCTTGAACCTGGGAGGCGGAGGTTGCAGTGTGCCGAGATCGCACCACTGCACCCCAGGGTGGGTGACAGAGCGAGACTCCATTTCAAAAACAAACAAACAAACAAACTAACTAACTAACTACAGCTGTCTGTCCTATTCTTAGCCCAGAATCCCTTCTTCCAGGTACTTTCTCCCCCTAGTTATACAGCCTCTGAAAAGCCTTTGTGTCCCAACCTACCAGATACTTTTTAAAAATCTGTTCACACACACACACACACACACACACACACGTTTTATCAAGATAAATCCTCCATAGCACAGGATGGGCTTTTATGTTTCTCAACCGGAAGTTTGCGACTTCGGGCTGAAATCTCTGCAATCAAGATTCCATTTATTTCACTTGGCTTCCTGAGCCAGGACTCTCTTGCCTGCTCCAGGAGCATCTTCCAGCAGCTTCCCTGATCGTTGGTACAAATGCCCGCTTCCAGCCTCAGAGCCACAGGCCACCAATGGCCGGCAGGGGTGTCCCTGCTTCCCGCTATCGAGGGCAGAGAAATATTAAAGTTCAATCCCAAAACACCCTGTTATCTGGTCAAGAAATTTTTAAACTACTTTTTATAGTAAAAAATTAATATGAACACAGTAAAAGAAATTCCAGTGGCACAAAATGTATTGAGACATTTGCCTCTTACTTCAGACCTTGAGTCCCCAAACCGACTTCACCGAAAGGGAACCGCTGTCTACAGTTTGTTACACATCCTTCTAGAAATATTACATAATCCAGAAAGATCATGTAATAGACACCCATTAACTGTATTACATATGGGAGCATACTATACACGTTTTCTGTTCTTGTTTCCACATCCCCCTCCACCAATTAAGAATTTATTTGGAGATCATTCTATTTCAGGACATATTAAGTTTGGCTAAATTTTTTTATTCAATAGTTAATGTTAGTTTTAAACTGAGGTAAGATTAGGCTGAGCGCAGTGGCTCACACCTGTAATGTCAGCACTTTGGGAGGCTGGGGCAGGCGGATCACAAGGTCAGGAGATTGAGACCATCCTGTCCAACGTGATGAAACCCCGTCTCTACTAAAATACAAAAAAATTAGCTGGGCGTGGTGGCGCGCACCTGCAGTCCCAGCTACTCGGGAGGCTGCAGCAAGAGAATCCCTTGAACCTGGGAGACGGAGCTTGCAGTGAGCAGAGATTGCACCATTGCACAGAGTGAGACTCCGTTTCTAAATAAATAAATAAAGTGAGGTGAGATTAAATTTGGAAAACTGCACAGATCTTCAGTGTACCATCCAATGATTTTGACAAAGGCTTACATCTTGTAAACAACATCCAAATTCCATAAGCCCCTACCCAAAGTTCTCTCTGCCCTTTCAAGTAACACTTCCTGCAGGCAACCACATTCTGACTTCCGTCACCATGGATGGGTTGTGTCCGTTGAACTTCATATAAATGGAATCGTACAATACGTACTCTTGCGTCTGACTTATTTTGTTTAATGAAATCCTTCTGAAATTCATTCCTGTTGTTGTATATCTGTTCATTTTATTGTTGTTGCTAAATAGTGCACCATTGTACGAATATACCACAATTTGTGTAGTCTTCTGTTGGACATGTGGGTTGATCCAATTTGGGGCTATTATAAATAAGGCCATTATAAACATTTCTGTACAAGTTTCTTTTGTGAGCATATGTTTTCACTTCTCCTGAGGCATACCTAAGAGTGAGCCCCTGTCTTTTTAAAAGCTGCAAGGTTTTCTTTTTCTTTTTCTTTTTTTTGAGATAGAGTCTCGCTCTGTCGCCCAGGCTGGAGTGCAGTGCCACGATGTCGGCTCACTGCAAGCTCTGCCTCCCGGGTTCCCACCGTTCTCCTGCCTCAGCCTCCCACGTAGCTGGGACTACAGGCGCCCGCCACCACGCCCGGCTAACTTTTTTTTGTATTTTTAGTAGAGACGGGGTTTCACCGTGTTAGCCAGGAT